GAGAGAGAGAATTTTTAATATTTATTTTTTAGTTCTAGGCGGACACAACATCTTTGTTGGTATGTGGTGCTGAGGATTGAACCCGGGCTGCACGCATGCCAGGCGAGCGCGCTACCGCTTGAGCCCCTTCCCCAGCCCATCCTCATGTTTATAATGAGAATAATCACCTGTTTGTGGAGCTGTTATGTGACAGTGGTTGTTGTATATGGTCCTCTAGTGAAATCGGCATCATGGGGTGGGTGTGGGGGGTTATGAGAAATGCAGATTCAGTGGTTTCACAGACCTACTGAATCAGGAATGCTGAGTGTCCTGGCAAACTGTATGACAAGCCCTCCAGGTGATTCTGAGGCCCAAGTTGGAGGAGCACTGACCTAGGGATGAAGGGGTTGGTGACTGTCTCCTCTCGACTGGTTCCCTGCTACTGGTATCTTTTTTGAGTAAGAGTTAAGGAGAGAAGGAGTTGAAAGGGTAGTATGCAGATTGATTCTCTTCCTCTTATTTTATGTAATTCTCCTTTTTAGCTATGGAATTGGAGGAAGAAAAGAGGAACTAATATTTATCTATCATAAATCGTTATGGTTTAGGTATGAAGTATCTCCCAAAAGCTCATGTGTGAGGCAATGCAAGAAAATTTAGAGGTGGAATAATGAGTTATGAGAGCCTTCATTCTAATCAATGCATTAATCCCCTGGTGGGAATTAACTGGGCAGTAACTGTAGGCAGGTAGGGGGTGACTGGAGGAGGTGGGTCATTGAGGGTATGCCTTTTGCATTTTCGATGGTGAGGGGAATCCCTGTTTCCTGGTTGTCATGTCCTGAGCTGCTTTCCTCTGCCACAATGTTCAGCTTCACCTTGTGCACAAAGCAATGGAGGTGGCTGCCTGTGGACTGAGACCTCGAAAACCATGAGCCCCAAATAAACTTTTCTTCCTCTACATTGTTCTGGTCAGGTCTTTAGGTTATAGTGTTGAAAACAGAAACTGTGTCTGTAAGGGTCCGGCAAAATGTCGGAGTAAGAGACCACAAGAGACTGTCTTATGCAACAGCAGAAGGGTGGGTTTATTTGGAGACCAGCATGCTAGGGCTCTCTCTATAGCAAAGAGAGATAGAGCCCTGAGAACCGCTTGAGCAGAGCTTATATACTTTTCTTGGAGAGGGCAGGGAGGGAAGTTCATTGACGGGTCAGGGCGAGTGAGCAGTTTGCCTGCAACTGAGTGAGGGAGTGCATCCTGCAGTTTGGCAGTTGGGGACAGCACATTCTGGGAACAAGATTAGCAAACAGTTCACAGTTGGGGACAACACATCCTGGGAACAAGATTTCAACAGTGTTTTGTTAAGCATATAGAAAAACAGAGTGACAAGTACCTATTTTATTAACCTTTCATGTCCTAGTAGTTTCCAGACTTCACTTTCCTCCAAAATGGAAGTTCTGCAAAGGCCTGGACTTAGTTTTACTCCTTGTATGTGGTGTAGAGGGTAAGGGCTTAGACTCAAAACAGGCTGACACTGACAAGGATTTTTTTTTTTTTTCTTTTGTGCTGGACATTGAATCCAGGGGTGTTCTACCACTGAACTACACCCCCAGCCCCTTTTTATTTTACTTTGAGACAGAGTCTCTATATTACCAAGGCTGGCTTCCAACTTGTAATCAATCTTCCTACCCCAGTATGCTGAGTAGTGGGATTATAGATGTACACCACTATCCTGGGCTCTGTGGCTTTTTAAAGAGCCTAGGCCAACAGTTTTATAGAATGTTGCACATTCTGTTTTTTCATTTTGGGCAATAATAACAACCAGAGGCAATGTGAACTTCTTACTGCCTCAAGTCTGGGATTAATAAGGTTAGTGTCTTTCAAAAATTCATGTGTTTAAGAATTGGTCCCCAACATGATGGTATGGGAAGTGCTGTGGACCTCTAATAGTTGGGGCTTAGCGGGAGGTCTTTAGGTCTTTGGGGCATGTCCTTGAAGGGGATTGGAGGACCCCAGGCTTTGAGCCTCTCTTTGCTTCTTGGCTGGTGATTGAAGTAGTTTGCTCCATCACCTGTTCTCACCACAATGTGTCACCCTGCTGAGAGGCCCAAAGCATCCAGGCCACCCAGTTTTAGACCATAACCTTCCAAATCATGAGCCAAAATAAAACTTAGTGTCTGTCTGCCTGTCTCTCTCTCTTGTGGTGTTGGGGATTGAACTCAAGGCCTCGTACGTGTCAGGCAAGCACTTTATAGCTGAGTTATATCCACAGCCCTTTTAAAAATTGATTTTGAGACAAGGTCTAAGTTGCCCAGGCTGGCCTTCAATCTTCCAAGTAGCTGGGATTACAGGTGTGCACCACCATGCCCAGTTAAAACTTTTCTCTTAGAAAGTTAATTACCGCAGGTATTTTTTAAAAATATATTTTTAGTTGTTGATAGGCCTTTATTTTATGTATTTATTTGTATGCAGTGCTGAGAATTTAACCCAGTGCCTCACACATGCTAGGCAAGCATTCTACTACTGAGCTACAACTCCAGCCCCGCACTACGGGTATTTTGTTACAATAACTCAAAGCTGACTAACACAATGGCAAATCACTATGCTGTAAATTTATTTTCTCCAGTAGAGGTAGAAAGTAATCTTTGATGTGATGATTTGAGACTAGGTGAATATTAATTTCTCTCAATAAACTTTCCCCTAATAGTTTTTGCATCCATTGATAATTTTTTAATAATTCTTGCCTGAAATAAATTATTTATGTTTGGGGATGCTTAAATGTGATTTTTAAGTTATTTTCTTTCTTTTATACTTACTGCAAATCTTCTGCAGAAAAGAACTCTACTTTCCATTCTCTCTGAGTTTCTGTGGACTTACAGATATTAAAAAATTTAGTGTCTATTACCATAATTCTTTTTGATGCTTTTCAAGACCATTCCTGTTTTCTTTAGAGATGACCCAGTAGTTTTTTTGAGAATTCTGATACTCCCAATGGAAACTCAGTTCCCAATGTATATATTTACTCACTTTTATTATCATAAAATATACACATATTAGTTACATAATTGTGCCTATGCCACTAGCAATAACTACTATAGGTAAAAGTTTCCAAGATTTCCCTTTGCAATCATGATTATATTTTTGACCTGAAAGTTTCTTGCTGTGTTAGTGCTCTTCAGAGGGACAGAGCCAACAGAATAGATACAGGTGTTAAGTGGGGTTTTCTTGCGGGGAATTGAATCATGGGATTATGGAGAGCCCCACAACAAGTTGTCTCGGGCTTAGTCAGCAAGGAAGCTGAGGCCAAATTTGGGTCTGTTAACCTAGAGGATTCCTGGTGTAAGTCCAGCAGTCCAAAGGAGTGACATCTGGAGTTGTGGTGTTAAAAGACAGCATGAGGAAGTGTCCCAGTTCTCAGGGAGTGAGAGGAAGTCACTCTCTTGTTCTAAATGGGCATGGGCTGGCTGAATGAATGTGGACAGCAGATCTTCTCAGTCTACCAACTCAGTAGTGTCCTGTGGACACACACCCAGAAATAAGGCTTTACCAACTCTCCAGATATTTCTCAATCCAGTCAAATTGACACTGAAAGTAACCATCACACCTGCTAAAGATATATAGTATATTGAGTTAAAAGTAATTTCAATTACTTTTTAAAAAAAATATTTAGTTTTTAGTCGTAGATGGACACAATACCTTTATTTATTTATTTTTATTTTGTGCTGAGGATTGAACCCAGGGCCTTGCATGTTCTAGGTGAGTGCTCTACTACTGAGCTACAACTCTAGCTCTCAAATACTTTTTATATAATCGTGCTATTAATTTGCTGCAAGAGAAGACTCATTTGTTTCAGTATAATTCAATTTTTTATAAAATCCTTTTTGATTTAACTTTTTTGAACATATAAAACATTTATCAGTTTAAAAGCCAATACAACCTGGGCATGGTGGCATACCCTGTAATCCTAACAACTCAGGAGGTTGAGGAAGGAGGATCAGAAGTTGGAGGCCAGCCTTATAAACTTAGTGAGACCATGTCTCAAATAATAAAAAAGGCTGGGGATGTAGCTTAGTAGTAAAGTACCCCTGGGTTTAATCCCCAGTATCCCCCTTCTATTCCCTCCACAACCAAAATTTATTTACTTACCCATTTCTTCAGTATTAGGGATTGAACCCAGGGGCACTGTACTACTGAACTATACACCCAGCCCTTTCAAATTATTTTATTTATTTATTTTTTCCTTTCCAGCCACTCTGGACCTGTAGATTTTTTTCTCCAATATTTTTAAATTGGCATATTATAACTATATATAATAGTGGGATTTGTTGTTATATATTTGTACATGCACATGATATATCAATATAATATGGTTTTAGTTTTATTTTTGAGACAGGGTTTTGTTGAGGCTGGCTTGGAACTTGCAATCCTCCTCTCAGTCTTCTGAATCATTGGGATTACAGATGTG